CAGCACCCCAACTGCTCCTCAAGACCCTGCACCCTGCGACACCACCCCTCCCGAGCTTCACAGTGATTATGCGAGATCACCTCCTGAGTTCCCCTCTTTCCCTGGCTGACACACTAAGCAGAGACTGAGACTCCACAAAATTAAATTTGCCTAATGCCAAAGGGACAGTGAGTGGTGGAGAAAAGACTTGAATTCTAAACCTATGTCTTGTCCAGAATCTTCTCCGTTACACCAGGGCTCTCAACTGGCAGGAGAGATACAAACACACCCACGATGGGGCGAGGAAGTCGGCTTTTCCAGCAGCACAAATGAACCTTATGCTCTTAAAGTTTACCAAAAAAAAAAGATAAACATAACAAAATATCTTTCTCAGGAAAAAGTGGGCCTTTTCCATTTTCAGCATAGGCCCTGACTTTCTTTAACTGAGTATCTGGTGGGATAATATCACATTCCCTCATTTGCTCGACACCTGGTGTTCGGCAGGCTCTTGCTGGGAGCCATACACGGGGTAAGCAAACGGACATGGCTCCTGCCCTCAAAGAGCTTGCAGTCTCCTGGAGACAGTCCAGAAACACCTTCTGCCTCGGATTTCACAAACATGTAGGTCTTGGGGACAGGGGAAATGGTCACAACTGTCTTCTTTACACGCACCCTCTGTTTGCCCAGCTCACTCACTTATGAGACTTTTTCGCATTGGCACCATCGGGTCCCTTCCCGCAGTCGTAGGCCTGGATGGTGAAGGTGTAATCCTTCTGCAGTTCACAGTCCAGCTTCTCCTTGGAGCGAATGACTCCCTCGCCGGTGGACTTACCAACTACCACTGCATCAAAGGGGACATTCTGCCCGTGAATCTTAAATCCACAGATCTCACCTAGGGAGTCAAAGCAGCTCAGGTCAGAGTTTCTGCCACACAAGTCTGCACGTTCCCCTCCCTGCAGCCCCATAGCTCCCAGAGAAAAGAAATGACACAACTTGGCAGCCAGGGGTTTAGAGGGTCTGTGGACAAAGCAAGGGCACTGTGCTCTAACAGGGGTAAGTTCTGGGGCTTTAGTAAAAAGAAGCATGTTCTGGCTTTCCAAGCAACTTGTTTAACTTTGCATCCACTCATGCAGGAATACAAAAGAGAGAAAGAGAAAATATAGACAGGCATTTCACAGGAGTACTTCGGAGAGCTCCAGGGTAAAAGTGGTCAGTCTCATGAGCCAACAGCCAAGGCCTGATAGCGTGGAGAACTGCCCCCAGCTACTGGGACAGCCGGGCAGAAGTTTGGTTTGGACCAGAGAGAAGGTAACACGCACAGTTAAGTGTTGAGAGAAGCGGCATGAGATACAGGTTCAGCACCGTAATTACAGAAATTCTGTCCAGAAAGAAAAATCAAAAGAAACAAGTCTTCCTGTGCAATGAGCCTGGCTAAAATTAGGGAATCAAAACAAACTACTGAATGAAAAAGGTAGAAATACCAACTTGTCAGGCATCCATTTCAACAGCCACCATCTGCTATTAAGACACAGGTTCTGCTACGGGGAGGATTTGCTAGACTTTCCCTTGTCTCAGACTTTATCCTATCAGACCTGAAAAAGAAGCTCGCCTGGGGACTTGAGTACATCTGGGTTGGCTTACAAGCTTGATTGGGAGTTAAAACCTAGGTTTCCATTCTTGCCTATGGGAGAACAAATATAAATGTTTTGATATATATGTAAAACTTAAGTGTTTCACAAAAAAATAAGACCAAACTCTTACAAAATTACAACTAATACAAAATGGTCATATGAAGCTAAAATCTTTAATTAAGAAAAAAATGTACAGTATTATCCATAGAGTTCAAATGGATGTCTGATTTCCAGATATTTCTAACCAAGGGTTTGGTTACATACAATTTTCACCAATATATTTGAAAACAGAAACAAAGTAGAATAATAGGGGGAAAAGAGCATGACAGTCTCTTCTGTTTAAGGGCTGATTCCCAATTTTATAAACAAAGTTAGTGGGTTAATATTCGTAAGAGGGATAGAAAGAACCCTTTTTCACCTTCTTTGGTGACTGTCACCTCAAAACTCTCTAAAGGGAGAAAAGATAAACCCATGTCAGTAATACAGGAAAGAATGAAGACGGAACAATAAGGAAAAAAGTCAAAGATGCATATATTACATGGAAAAGCTTGACATAACTTAACAATTAACTCAGTAACCTCTTGCTAGAATCGCTATAGCCAAACTGGATCTTAGTAACAAAACGTCTCTTTGAATCCAACTTACCGTGAATATCGAAATTAATTAAATTAGAAATTCTGGGCTTAATTTTGAAATCACACTAACCTATGGATAAAATACTGCCATAAAGTTCCATAACACCCTCAGGTGTCCTTGGGACTGTCTTTAAATTAACACTTTGATAACAGTTAATGAGTAAGCCTACTTATTTTACAGTTTTCAGATTTTCATTTTCAAGTGAAGTTCTTTTGACTAGATTCTGGTAACATTCAACTCATCATTACATCTGATAAAACAAACATTTGGAGCAAAGGCTTTTACCTTTTTGTCCTTGAGCTGAATAAATAACAATGTTTTCTAATCTCAAGTACCCAACCAAGGCAACATGCAAACCCCACTTCTAATGGAACATCTGCTTAAATGTGGGCTGAAACCAGATTTAATACTAACTGTAGCAATGTTACAATGACCATCGTTAGAGAAAACACTCCACCAAGTCGACATAAATCCTGCTAACCTTACCCTACGCTGCTACTGAGGGGTCCCCCTGCCTCTCCCCAGACACAGCATGGCCTCACTGGGACACCTTCTCTCCCCCAAAGGCAACACAGCCTGAATTCTCTGCTTCTTATGTGGTTTTACCATATGTTTGAATATCCCTGAACAGTGTTTTGTTTTGCTTGTTTCTGAGATTTGAAAAATAGCACCGCGTGGCATGCAGTTTTCATGACCCGCTTTTTCACTCAACCTTGAGTGTCTAAGAGTCCATCATCCCTGTTGGGGAAGGCAGCTATAGTTAGTTTATTTCCACTACTATATGTGGTGAGAATCCAATGAGTTAAAACAGGTGAAGTGCTTAAAACACTGCCTGGCTGAAAGAGAGCATTCAACACATGGTCACTATCACTGTAATTATCTTCCAGCGTGTGCCTGGAGGTTATCCTAGCTACTTGTGAACAATGCTGTCATGGGCATTCCTGCCCACACTTCCTGCTGCACAGGCACAGCTGCTCTAGATCTGTGCAGTGCAACGCGTAGTTACTATCCACATGCAGCTGTTAAAGATGAAACTAAAATTCTCATTAAGGTGAAACAGTATGAGAAATCAGTCTCTCGGTTGCAAGGAGTGCAGCTCAGGTGCTCAAGAGCCCCGCGTGACTATGTGGAGGGCCCTTCCTTCCCCACAGCAAGCTCCAGCGGACAGCGCGGCTCCAGAGTGGGCAGGCCAGCTGTGGCCTGTGCATCAAATACAGCCTTTGCATAGTTTTGAATGGTCTAGCTGCTAATGATGACTTTTACCTTTTCAAATATTATCTTGTGACACAAGAAAATTGTATGAAATGCCGATTTCAGTGTCCCTAAGTAATGTTTTATCAGAATACAGACATGTTCATTTATTTACGAATTGTCTGTGGCTGCTTTCCCGCTATGATGGCCAAGTTGGGTCATTGCAAGAGTGACCTGTGTGCTGAAAAGTCTAAAGTATTTACTAGAGATACACCTCAGAGCAGAACTACTGAGTGACAGATACGTCAGATTTCCAGAGCGTGCTGATCACCACAGTGTGTTTACACATTTTCGGGGTATACATGAATCCTGCGTAACACATTTAAGAGTAAGTCAAGTTGCCCAGCTTTAATTCAGAGAAGAAGCCTTGGTTTTGGACTTGGAGTTTACTCTCCTAAAGGGCAAACGGTGAGGCAGTTTCACATTAGCCGAGTTAATGTAACTGACAGTGACTGTACACGCTTTCCCGACGGAGGCCACTGCGCAAGTGCAGGTTTTAGACCCCGGGATCAAGTGTGTGGCCTGGGGAATGCCACCTGCCTGGGGCACTGCGGAATGAGAGTTTAAGCAGGTCATTCCAGCGATGTCCTTGAGACTGTGTCCGACCATGAGATTATCAGGAGGAGAGGAACCGTTTGCCAATAGCTGTGCACTGCCCACACCTCTTCTTTGATTTATCAGGCTGGGAGAGTAAGGAGAGCTCCGAGCCTAGGAAGGTAATGGGTGTTTCACTTTTACACTTTAAGTATCGGGGAAGGTTTCACTGATAAGATAATGTCTGAGTAGAAACCAGAGGAAACTAAGAGGCAAGCCACATGAGTACATGGGAAAGAATTTCAGACAAGAAACAGCACGCAAAGGCCCAGAGGCAGACCTGGGCTGGCCTGGCTCAGGAACCAGAGGCCCAGGCTGCTGGAGTGGCTGAGCAAGGGAGGCCAGCAGGTGAGGTCAAAGATGAATGGCCTGAGCGGCAGGGGCTTCGACAAGAACTGCAGGGACTAAGAGGAGGAAAAGACTAGAGAGTTTCCAGCAGAGAAATAAATAAACATGGCTTATCTTCTGAAAGAATTCAGCTGGCTACTGTGCCGACAGTTAAGTCCGTAAGAGGCGAAGATAGTACCTGGAGCAAGGCAGGCACGAGACGCTGAAGGCCGAGATGGGGACAGAGGGGTGGTGAGGTGTGGTCAGATTGGGCGTTTTGAAACTAAGGACAACGCGGTGGAGTTATGAGTGAGAAACGTCAGGGTGGGGTGGCCTTCAGCGGACGTGGGTGAGAAGTGTGGGAGGAAGGGCTGCATGGAGGGACGGGAATTCACATGTGGAGGTGAATGCATCTGTGTTGCAATTTGTTAAGGAATAGTGTCTCAAAGGTACGATTATCAAATATACGAATATAAATTATTTTGAAGCTCATGCATTTCCAGGCTGCTCTCTAAAAGACTGGCCCATTTATAATCAGAACAGCAAAAATGTACACTTGTATCTTTTTCATACTCCCCACATACTTAAGTAGCCACATACTGAAGTTGGCTACTTGCATGGGCTGCACCAACAGGATTTGGTGCCTCAAGTCCACGGGTACTTATTAAACTGCTAGGCAGGCTGG